ACGAGGAGTCATGTTTGCATAGACCACAATACCTGCGGTCGGAATGCAAACACAAAACATAACTCTGATGATGTGCACTGTCCTTGAAGTTGATTGGTCCACACCTGAGACAGCTTTTCCTTAGAGCCTAGTCTCACATGGTGTTGGACCAGATGACGCCAAAAGGCGCACAACTCAAAGACAATGCACCGTCAGAGTATGAGAGCTCGGGGTGAAGCATTTACACCATTGGAACCTCATTTGCCAAGGACAGTACATACATTATCAGAGTTGTGTTTTTTGTTTGCATTATGACCGCAGGTATTGTGGTCTATGCAAACATGACTCCTCGTCAAAAAAGGTGTCAGTTTTGTTGCCAGATAGAAGGGTAAAAAAACAAATATGATATTCTAGATTTGAAGCTTTCGTGACTGCAATCGTGCTGTGACGGTTCCACCTGAAGACAGAAGCTTGTGTTGCCTCCGAAACGTCGTGATTTTTATTTTATTTTACTTTTATTAATTTAAAATTTTTACCTACGTGAACCAAAGAATATGAATTCCTGCAGTCGCAAAAGTCTTAAGTAGAAACTTCATGGGGTGCCAAACATTCACAAACCTGATGTCCCATTGAGACTCATCAGAAGTGCAATAGGCTCTGCCACATTAACAACTCTGGCACCTCCCCCCCTCTCAACCAGTCTACATAACAAAGGCTCAGTCCTTTTTCTTCGTTCTTTCGGTAAAGTCACGTAGAAGGGAAATAATAAAATAATAAAAATAAAACATTATAAAATAATTCTCACGACGTTTCGGCCACAACGCAAGCAGCCGTCCTCGGGTGAAGAACAGGTCTGTCGGGAAGACAGCGTCTGAATGAACACCACCAGGCTTGGAGCGTCAAGGCGCTCTTCCCTCTCCACCCCAGCTTAAATATACGCTGCCAAGCCTGGTGGTGTTTCATTCAGACGCTGTCTTCCCGACAGACCTGGTCTTCACCTGAGGACGGCTGCTTGCGTTGTGGCCGAAACGTCGTGAGAATTGTATTTTATTATGTTTTATTTTCATTATTTTATTATTTCCCTTCTACGTGACTTTACCGAAAGAACCAAGAAGATGAATCCCTGCAGTCACGAAAGCTTTAAATCGAAGCTCAGTCCTTTGTTGTGTAGACTAGCCATAGCTTCAGCCGCACCAACCTTATCATAATAAAAACACAAGTATAACCCGTAAAAACTAAGTTTTTCACTATAAATCCTTTATATGCGTGGCGGCTAGAGTCCTCTCGTCCTCTGGCTTGAGATGGCTGCCACCTATGGGTCAGATGATTGCATTGCACCATTAAGCAATTGGTAATTAAATATAATATTTTTGTCCTAAAAAGTGTAACATTTTGGAAAAAAAATTTCACGAACATTAATTGTCACGCACAACGAGTCTGTGTGCAAAATGTCAGCTCGATTGGATCACGGGAAGTGGGTTAAAAAACGACCGAAAGATTTGCACGGTCGTAAGCGCGCAAGCAAGCAAGTGAACTTAATATAAAGGATTTAAAAACTCCTATCCAGGGGCTACCTTGGCTCCTCCCACCCTCAACCAGTATATATACAAGGACTGTTTTCTTGGAATTTATCTCACTTGATACAGCTGTCGTGCTGTGACGGTTCCACCTGAAGACAGAAGCTTGTGTTGCCTCCGAAACGTCGTGATTTTTATTTTATTTTTATTTTACTTTTATTAATTTTAATTTTTTACCTACATGGTGACTTTACCGAAAAAAACCTAAGAATATAAATGAGCACAATACGTTACAAAAAACGAATACAAGCCCCACATCGGCAGGACCTCTTCGTTCATTGAAAGCTCAGAACATCTTGTAAATATAATTAAAGATGTTAAGCTTAACCCTAATGATATTTTTCGATTTAAAGCTTTCGTGACTGCAGCATGGATTCATCTTCTTGGTTCTTTCGGTAAAGTCAAGTAGAAGGGAAATAATAAAATAAAAAACATAATAAAATAATAAATTAAATTAAATAACAAATTAAATTAAATAATATCTTTAGACGTGACTTAACCGAAAGAACCAAAGAATAATTCCTGCAGTCACGAAAGCTCCAAAATAAAGATAATAAAAAAAATTTACTTATGTTTTATTTTATTACGCTGCGTGCAAAAATCCCAGTGGGATGCAAGTCAAACAACAACAACAACCACAAAACAACTTAGATTAAGGCCATCAGTCTAACTCTGTACTACAACAAACCAACAACAACAACCACAAGACAACTTAGATTAAGGCCATCCGTCTAACTCTGTACTACAACAAACAACAACAACAACCACAAGACAACTTAGATTAAGGCCATCAGTCTAACTCTGTACTACAACAAACAACAACAACAAGAACGACCACAAGACAACTTAGATTAAGGCCATCATTCTACCTCTGTACTACAACAAACAACAACAACAACAACCACAAGACAACTTAGATTAAGGCCATCAGTCTAACTCTGTAC